GGTTCCCCGGCTAGCGCTCCCGTCCCGCCCCTCACGCCTCCTGCGGCAGTGGCGGCAGCGACGATGGTTTCGCTCGCTCCGGGGGCTGCGCCGCCGTGTCTTCCAACAATATCGTATCCCATTGGTCTAGCCTTGTAACCCCGCCCTCTGAGAGCAAGACGGGCTGTGATTGGGTGATCACGGCGCAAGGCAACTACGCTTCAGCGCCACGGACGGTGGCCAATCAGAGGCTGTCAAGAGAGCGCCGCGCTGCTTTGCGCTTGGACCCCGCGAGCCGGACGCAAATAGGGGTGTGTGACATCACCCGCCCGGCGCGCGCCGGGCGCCCCGCAGTCTCTAAAGGCTCAGACCACGTGGAGGTCGTTAGATTCTGACCCCGTGAGCACCGGACCTGAGCTGCGTTCGCTTTCACCTGCTTCCCCTCCTTGGGATGACACCACATCCTCCCGTGACACCGCAAACTCCCGAGCCCACACCAGCCCATCCCCAACCTTGTTGCCTGACATCACCCTTATCTCCTGCACCCGCCTGGTCCTCGTTGTAGCCCCACCCCACAATGGGGTGGTGCCTTCTAACGTGCGTTGTGACCTGGCCCTCAATTCCTCTACTCCTAGCCACTGTACTTCCTATGCTATCCCCTCCTGCAGTACCTTCCTCATCAGTCACCAGACTCTCTGTACCCTCTGGGGCTTTGTGTAAGGGACCACCCACGCATTTTACTCATCCCCCATTCAGTTGTTGGAGCCTAAGGAGGCATAGTTCCAGCTCATTGCCCAGGTTCCATGTTGGAAGTCACTCCTGCAAAGGGGTCAAGGCTGGGCCCATCTTTCACAAATGGGACTACCTTCTGGGGAAGGGGCTGGGGAAGAGTCCCTGTTCCCCATCTCAGGGTGTCCCCAGCCTGGGCCTGAAGTTGGAAGTAGGTTACCAGTCTCTCCGCATCAGAGAATTTGGAGAAAATCATCCAATTTGGTTGAAAAATAATATCCCCCAGTCCCAAAGACTGATTCATTTCCATGCTCAATAGTGCCAATGTGGGTTTTTATTAGTTTTGTAATTTTTTCTTTCAGACACTTTGTTTGGATAAGGTTGCTTTTGGGATAAGTTATTAAATTTTTTGGCAAGTTATTTCTGTTCTATTCAGCTTATAATCAGGAAAGTTTGAAGTCATCTAAAAACTCTTGATCACATTAACGATGTAAAGGAAACTACTTAACTCCTGGGTGATCAGAGGACCTGATGTATGACCAACACAAAAGAGCTCAGCCTTGGCCTTGGCCGGGCCGGCTGTGTTTGGAGTGGGGTAGGTGTTGTCTGGATTTCTATTTGTCTTATATGGATTTACTAGACTTTTCTCTGTGACCATACACTTGGTGAGAGCTGGATGGAGGAAGCATGAATAACAAACTGTGAAAGAGAAGAACCAAGCATTTTTAAGTACGGGCCTTTCCTCCTATTTAGTAAAGTCTCAAATCTCTTTGCAACCATTGGATCTAGCCCTGTCTGGATGTTGGGGGTGGGTGTGGATAGAGCCCAAGGGAGCTGGGACACCAGACCCAGGGAGGTACCTGAGCCTGTGTGTATGTGGTGTGTGTGTGTGTGTGTGTGTGTGTGTGTTGGAGTGGGTTGTTCTAATGGAGGTGGAATTCAGTTGTGGGCAGTTGTGGAGTCTTTCCCTTGTCTCTTCAGTGACTTGATGGAAAGATGGGATGGCGTGGCCATCCTCCCTGGGGGGTGATTTCTTGCTTTCTGTCTCTCTGTCTCTCTCTGTCTGTCTGGCGAGGGCATGCACCCTATAGCAAAAACCTCTCAAAAAAAAAAAAAAAAAAAAAAAACCTCTCCAAAAAGGAAATAGGGTCTTTCCGGGACCAGTAGTTGGCGTAATGGCTATGTCGCTGGACTCCCATCATGTAGTCGACCGCAGTTTGAGTCTTGAACCTGGTGGCTTAAACTCACGCTGGACACCTGTGCATGTGTGCCCAAGATCCTGAGAGAAGAATGGAGAAGAAGGGATTGTGGTGTGGCCATCCCCCTGGGGGGTGATTTCTCGCTTTCTGTCTCTCTGTCTCCCTCTGTCTTTCTGGCTCCTCTCAAAAAAAAAAAAAAAAAAAGAAAGAAAGAAAAGAAAAGAAATAGGGTCTTTGCAGATGCAATCAGTTAGGGTGGGCCCTAATATATGATTTGCATCCTCTGAAAACAAGAAAGACACAGGGACACAAGTAAAGGAAGACCATGGGAAGACAGAAGAAATTAGAGAGATGCAGTCACAAGCCAAGAAATGTCTGGAGTCCACAGAAGCTGGAAGAGGCAGGAAGACTTCTTCCGTGGAGTTTTGAGAGGGAGCATGGCCCTGCTGACACATTGCTTTCAGCCATCTAGCCTCCAGAACCATGGGGAATACATTTAAGGGTTTTTTTTTAAAAGAATTATTTTATTTAACTTTATTTATTATTATTTTCCAGGTTGATCAGAGAGAGACAGAGAAAGAGAGAGAGGGAAAATGAGAAAGCAAGCCACCAACTCCAGGACTACTTGAACTGTGATCAGCCATGTGGGATTCCAGCGCCTTTAACCATCATGCCACCTGCTGGACCCACATTTCAGGGTTTTTTTTTTTTTTTTTTTTAGGGTTTTTTTCAAAATTTAGAGGTTTTTGCTATAGGGCGCGTGCACTTGCCAGACAGACAGAGATAGAGAGACAGAAAGCGAGAAAACACCCCCCAGGGGGGATGGCCACGCCACAATCCCTTCTCCTCCATTCTCCTCTCGGGATCTTGGGCACATATACACACGCACCCAGCATGAGTTTAAGCCACTTGGAAGTCCAGTGACATAGCCATTATGCCAACTGCTGGTCTCAAAAGACCTTATTTCCAAATGATACATGCATAGGCTTTAGACTTGAATGTAACTTTTTTTTGGGGGGGGAGGTTTTTGCTATAGGACGCATGCGCTCACCAGACAGACAGACAGAGACAGAGAGACGGACAGCAATAAATCACCCCCCAAGAGAGACGGCCACATCGCAATTCCATGTCCTCTCAGGATCTTGGGCACGCACACACACGTGCCTGGCATGAGTTTTAAGCCACCAGGTCTGAGACTCAAACTGCGGTCAATTACTTGGGAGTCCAGCGACATAGTCATTATGCTAACTGCTGGTCCAAGACTTGAATATAACTTTTGAAGGCCACTGTGCAGCCCACAATAATCACTGAGGCAGCATCCTGCCGGTCAACCTGGCAAGTAGGCTGTGTACATGATAGCAGATTTTTAAAATGAATTATTTATTTATTTATTTATCTGTTTGTTTGTTTTAATTTGACCAGAGAGGAACAGAGAGAAAGAGAGGGAAAGTGAGAAAGCAAGCCTCCAGGTCCAGGACTTGAACCACAATCGGCCGTATGGGAGTCCAGTGCCCTTAGCTACCGTGCCACCTGCTGGCTCCTATGGTAGTAGATGGTAGAAATCCCTGGTGAGACTCCTACAGATCTCTGCTCTCCATATTCTAGCTGGACATCCCAAGGTGCTTGTGCTTCTGTTTCCTCATCTGTGAAATGGGGTACTTGTACTATCCACTTTGTAGGGCTGTGGAAACAGAACAGCACTGGGTAAACAGTTGGCCTAAATAGTCAGGGGTTAGCTGTTCTTACTAACCCACCCATGTGTGTGGTAAAAACAGTGTCAAGACACAGGTGATGGGTTTAGAGCTAGAGCCAGGTTTCCCTTTAATCCCAGTTCCCTGATAATGGCCCGGCCTGCATTGTACTTCCAGGTGACATTGCTCCCTCAGGATGAATGCCCTTTTAGGTGGCCCCAATGCAGCTGAGAGTTACCATGAGGCCTGCACAGTGAGCTTAGGACTAAGTCCATCAGCCCTTTGAGCAGCGATTAGGGTTGATAAGTGGGTCCACTGTAGCCCAGATGCCACCTGGAGAACATATGCTAGGCCTGGGGTGGTAGTTTCTACCTGTCCATACCTGTAGTTGTCTACACCAGCTACCCCCTTGGGATTCTTATTGGTCTAGAGAAAGGAACCTTCTTGGATTTGTGAATGATAACACAGTTTTCTTTACCCTCAGCTGCCCTTATCCTATTTGCTGTTTGGGTCTTGTGGGCCAGTCACCTCCCAAGAGGCCTTCCTTGACCTACTCCCACACGGCACCCACTACCTGCTTTCTCGACTCATGTTTATTTGACTATGTGTGTCTCTCCCTACCTCCTGCCTCCTCCTTCCGCCATCAGAAGAAGAGCATCAGGCAGGCTTCTAGGATGAGTGAGCTTGAGTGGATGGATACGTGAGGACCAGCAGGAGTGGCCCAGCATGTGTGGCAACTGGGCAGCCAGTGGCACAGTGCATTCCAGGACCTAGAAATAGCTCATGGTAGTTCATGTTCCTAAAGATAGTGCTGGGGAGCTTGATGGGGAGGCTACTACAGCAGGTGCCATGGCTCACTGCACAAGATGGAGGGAAGTAGGTGACGGTGGGCAGGCTATGACTCAGTGTCCTTGCTGGTAAGCAGGAACAATAGTCAGGAACCCATCATGGAACCAGGCTGGAGATGCTGTTTACCATCCTGAGTAGAGCACTCTTCACTTAGTGACCAAGTTCCATTCCTACAACTAAACCATTGGTCGATAAGTGAGGGGCTCAAAGGCAGATATCTTGTTGTGTGTCAGGGCACCATAGGCATGTATTATGTCAATGGACATCACATGACACCACACTGGAATGATGTAATTCTACCCATACAAAAAGCACACATTAGATAAGTATCAGAAAGTGACAAAACACACCACAACACAATAATAATAGTTTTTATTTATTCTGAATACGTCTATGAGTACACAGTGAAGTACAAATTTATAAATGAAGTATGTAGTCTTGTGCAATTGCAAGTGTTTCATGTTGTGAAAACTAACTGATGGCAGAATGAGACAAAGATCTGGGGAGAAGGGATTCCTGAGACTCACACAGACTGAGAAAGAGGAGTCCTTGCAATGGAAAATTTCGAGCAGTCATTTAGTAGGCAAGTCATTAAGTGAGAAGAAGCTCTCCAGTCTACCAGGATCTGGCATTTTCTCAGATCTCAGGCAAATCGAGTCTGAGGGTACTCAGAAGAAATGGGAGTAAGAACCTCATGC